GCCCACTACAGGAAGAGTTGATTTTTCAGTTCAGGGACTGCCTGAGCAGGTTCTGTTGTCTTTGCTCCACACCAGACTGGTCCTGGGGAAATTGTTCAGGCTTAGGTAGTATGTGCCTGTCGCTATCTCCAGGATCTCTTCAGATTGGAGGGATACACTCTGCCCAACACTGACCTATGGCAATAGCCAGGACTGGGCCAGGAGGGCGGAGATGGGCAGGGATTTACCCCCCATCAATGCTCTCTTTTCTGATGACCAGGAGACCTTGCAAGTTCCCTTTGGCAGTGTTAGAGGGCAGAGCTTCACAGTAGGGGGCCTAGAAAGCTTATTGGGCTCATAATCAGGAAACACAAAGTCGGGGCTGATCCTGCCACTTCTTAGCTGGTCTGTTTACTTACCCTCTCTGAGCCTTGTTTTCCCCACTTGTATAGACAAATAATAGGAACTGTGTTTAGAGTTGTTTTGAGAATTAAATAGTATATGGTATAAAGTAATGGTGGCAAACCTATGGCACACACACCACAGCTGGCTGTTGTTACTGAAAGATCTAAAAGGTTTGCCATCCCCATACGGAGCATATAACATATACACATAAATAACAGGTATAGTACACAATATATGGTACATAAACTGCTTAGCATTGTGCCTGGCATGGGGCCAATGCTAATAAGTGGTATTTTAAAATTAATAATAGAAAATAATGGACCCCCATTTGTATGTCCAGAGGTGTTTCTTCCTCAGGCCATCAAAGCCAAGCTCTGTATCCATACCCGCTCTCCACTGTTTGCTCTTTTGCTCTACCTCAGCTCCGGGGAGGTCTGTGATATCATTGTAATACCGCTGGCCTGAGCCTCAGGGCAGTGGCTCTCAACCTGGCCCCATTCTGTCTCGCTCAGGTTGACTTCATGGAAGTCCCCGGGGAACCTGGACACGCTTTCAAGCCCCACCAGGAGAGAGTATCTGCTCATCACTCCCACCCTCACTGAGAGGACTGCTTTGGGGGGTCTTCAGTAGAGTGCACATCAGTATCTCCTAGAGGGCTCTGTTAAAATGTACCAGCTGGGCTGGGGATGTGGCTCAGTGGTAGAGCTCTCCCTTGCATGCACAAGGCCCTCGGATTGATCCCCAGCACCACCAAAAAAAAAAAAAAAAAAAAAAACAACCTCAAAACCAAAAATAACCCCCCAAACCCACCAGTTGTATCCCATCTTGGGTTTGAATCATAATCTCTCTGGTGGAGCACTGGTAAGTATCTGTCTTCCCAGGCAATGCGGGGATATAGGCCTGGTTAAGAATGGCTGTCCTGTGATGTCTCTCTGCTCAGCTTTGGCTCACTCTCAGCTAGTACAACCTGAAATCTTCTAGCTAAGATTAACGTGTCTGTGGAGATTTTCAAAGCTCAGAGATACTGACTCAGTGTGGCAGACTATGGAGGGAGAGCCCCAGTGATAAGGAACCCAGCACAGGAGGAAGAGCTCTGTGCACGAAGCAGTGGCTCTGTAGAGAGCCCTGGACAGGATTAATAGTAGGTTCAGGCAGCTCTAGTTCTTAACAGTCCTGCCACTGCACTGGCCTCGGGGTCCCTAGCTCCTTGAGAGATGTATTTCCAGTTCAAAAGAAAAGATTCCAAGCCCGGGAATTAAGAAACCAATTAGCTTCTTGGGGAACAGTTAGGACATGAGACAAGCAGTGTCATACACAAACTAGCAGCAGAAATTTCAAGAAGGGAAACACTGCAGACTTTATTTGTGTTCCCCCCCTTGCCTGTGAAATGAAATAAGAAGGACATTATTGTGTTAGAAATTGGTGTGGATACGGAAAGTGATGGTCTCCCCCTAAGATGCAATGCCTAAGGGTTTTGTTTTGTTATTTTTTGAGACAGGGTCTTGCTATGTAGTTCAGGTTGGTCTTGAACTCACTATGTAGCCGAGCTTGGCCTCGAACTTGAGGCAGTCCTCCTGCTTCAGTCTCCCAAGTGCAGGCGTTACAGGCACTGGCCACCATGCCTGTCTTTAGTCCCTAAGTTCTGAGAACATATCCAGCCCTAGACGGCCATGGGCTTTCACTTCTGTCTGTCTGAACATCTGCATCTGAAGTATGGAGCTCCTGGTGCTGTGATCCCACCAGTCATGTCCCTGCCCCTGCTAAGATACTCAAAGCAAACAACTGAGTAGAATACACGAAATGATGGACACACAGAGGGAGGAAATTCTGCTTTTTCAGCTTTCTTGAGAATCTCCAGAAAGAGGGATTAGAAAGGTTTCTCAGAGCAAAGAGTGGAGGATGTAAAGACAGAGATTTTAAAGACGTTGATGTCAAATGAGATAGCGGTGAAATGCTTTGAAAGGCGTAAACTCCCAGACCATCGACATCAAGAGCAGCAGCATCGATAACTATCACTGGTGGGGCTCCAGTGGGACATCCACTGGAGCTGAACGTGATGCTCAAGGTTATTCATTTGGTCCTCAGCCCCCAGGTGGGCCTCAGCACGCGCCTCAATACCCAAAGACGCCATCTGTTCAGTCTTCGGAGTTCCAGCTTAAATGACTACATGAAGTATTTAGGTTTAGTGGTTCCTTAAATAACACAACTGTTCTTTAGGTCTAATGTCTCTCCTGTCCATATTCCCTAACTTCCTGGGCTTTATCCTTAAACTACTTGCTGCTCATCTGGAAAGTGGAGATGTACAGTGCAAGCTGGCACTCTAGGCATGGTTGAAAACTGTCACAGGACATCTAGCACGCAAGGAAAATCTTGCTATTCCTCCCTCCATCCTTACCAAAGAGAAAATATTCTCTCTTCCTTGGGGGGCACCCTCCCCTTGCTGAAGGACAGTGTGTGCATATGAACGGGGGTAGGGAGAGAGAGACAGAGTTTAACTTTAGAAAATATTTTAATTGTACAAATTTGTAGGGTACAGTGTGATAATTTGATACACTTGTGTAGTGTATAACGGTCAAGTCAGGGTAGTTAATATTTCCATCTCCTTATCATTACTTTGTGTTTGAGGCCTTGGAGCTCCTCCTTGTAGGCATTCATAGGGTATTTGGGCCTCAGCGAAGACACAGAGGTTCCCAGGAGTTCAGAGCCAGGCACCTGGACAGGCACGGGTCGGCAGAACGGTGGGCAGTGGGATCCAGGGTGGGATGCCACGCCTGGTCTGGGGTGTCTGCAGCCCTTCCATCCTGATGTGGTTTTATCAAAGTTCCACCCCTGCAAGAGGCAGAGTACCTGTTTAGGAATATTTCTGCCACGCGACAAAGTGCAGTTTAAAATCTAGGTTCTCCCCTTCTGAGCTTCTCCCGAGAGAAGTTTGAAGACCCAAACTTCTCCCGAGATGGGAAAGCGGAGGCAGAGGACAACACTGCAAGACGTGCCCGCCCCAGCGGGTTGCTTCCCAGCCATGGCGACGAGCGGCCAGCAGGTGTCAGTGCGCCCTTGTTCTGGCGCTGCGCTGGGCTTCGGCTTCCAGGACCCCTCCCCACTGCAGTCTTAAAAGGGTGGGGGCTCGCGGTCCAGACCCCAGGCATCCCGAGTCGGCCAAGAGCTCTGCAGCCTAGAGAACACGTGGTCGCTTCTTCCCCAACAGAAGTCTGAACTCTGGTCGGACTCCCTCCCTTGTGGGTGCTGCTCATTCCGCCCTAGGGGTTCGACTCGAACCCGCACCTTCCTCCTCCACCAGGATCACTGGCCCGGGCGGGGGCTGGGCTGCTCCGGCTGCGACCCTCCGGGAGGCTGCTTCTCTGGAAACCGGCCAGGGCTCCCTCCGCCCTCTCCGCCCAGGACCCAGCTGGAGGAGCGCAGTCCCGGGCGCCGCTGCTGTCTGGTGCGCTGGCCAGGAGCTGACGGCCAACTCCTCGCACAGGCCGCACCCCCACACCCAGGCTCTCTCTTTACCCGCTTCTTCTGGGTTCCCGACTCTCCAGAAGGTCTGTCCAGCCTCGGGGGAGTACTCCCCAGGGTCCGGCGCTGGGCGCGGGCGCTAGACCCGCGGAGGGGAGGCGCGAGGGGTGGAGGAGGGTCGGTTTCCCACGTGGGGCTGACGCCGGCTGCTCGGCAACGCCGGCCTGATCCTGGGGCTATAAAATGAGTCCACTGTAGCGCCGCGGAGCAGCAGCGGCTCCGGCTCCGGTGCAGAAGCCCGACAGGCAGCGCGCCGGTGCCCGGCCGCCCCGGCACCTCCCTCCCCACTCCTGCAGTCCTGCCTCAACTCGCGCTGTCCTCCGACCCCGGCCCGCCCTGCTGCGCTCGGCGCGGACCGAACCGACGCCCAGAAGACACCCTGCCTCGGCCGCGGCTCCGGGAGGGCTGATCGCTCCCCTGGCCGGCCTGCTGAGGACCGGGGTGCCTTCATGCGGCCCCCCCACGCCTCGCCCCGCCGCCGCCTCCGCCGAGCTCGGCACGCTGAGCCCTGGCCCCAGCAGGGCGCGCAACTTTGGAAGTCCCGCGGCGCTCCAAGAGGCAGCGGAGCCCGCGCCCCGGCCCCAGGTCCGGCCCAGCTCGCACCGGCACGTCTGGGGGAAGCGAGAGATTCCAGAACCGCTTCAGGAGTATAAGGAGACGGACTGAAGACCCCGAACCCGCATCCGCACCTCTTGGCTGCCTCCCGGAGTTGGGGGCAACCCCCGCGCACGGTAAGACCTCTTGCTCTGGCTTAGGCTCAAGAGCCAAGAATATGAATATATATAAAAATATATATATTATTAAATATAGTATACGTGTAATTTCCTGACATCCTTACAAACCATCAGGTCACCAGTGATTTTTGATCTCCTTTCTTGGAGTAAATCTCTCTAACCATCAGCTTGCCCTGCTCTTTCCTGCCGCTTAGAGATAAAACTTGGCTGTGTGGAGGAGCTCGGAGCTCAGAAGCGCCCCCACCCACAACGTCTGCAGCACCGGGCGGCGGCGCGATTCGCGGGAAGCAGGCCCATGGGTCACTAGCGGCCCCCCGGCTCGGGCCCGGCCTCGCAGCGACTCCCTCCCTATGCGAGGTGCGGCGGGGTGAACGGGCACCGGCGGACGAGGAGGACCCCCGGGCGCCGGGCGGGGACGCGGCCGGCAGCAGGCCCGGCGAGCGGGCGCCGCGTTCATGTTCCGCCAGGAGCAGTCGCTGGCCGAGGGCGGCTTTGCGCCCATGGGCTCCCTCCAGCCGGACGCTGGCAACGCGAGCTGGAATGGGACCGAGGCGCCGGGAGGCAGCACCCGGGCCACCCCTTACTCCCTGCAGGTGACGCTGACGCTCGTGTGCCTGGTCGGCCTGCTCATACTGCTCACCGTGTTCGGCAACGTGCTCGTCGTCATCGCGGTGTTCACCAGCCGCGCGCTCAAGGCGCCCCAGAACCTCTTCCTGGTGTCGCTGGCCTCGGCGGACATTCTGGTGGCCACGCTCGTCATTCCCTTCTCCCTGGCCAACGAGGTCATGGGCTACTGGTACTTCGGCAAGGCGTGGTGCGAGATCTACCTGGCGCTCGACGTGCTCTTCTGCACGTCGTCCATCGCGCACCTGTGTGCCATCAGCCTGGACCGCTACTGGTCCATCACGCAGGCCATTGAGTACAACCTGAAGCGCACTCCGCGCCGCATTAAGGCCATCATCGTCACCGTGTGGGTCATCTCGGCCGTCATCTCCTTCCCGCCTCTCATCTCCATCGAGAAGAAGGCCGGCGGCGGCGGGCAGCAGCCCACAGAGCCGCTCTGCATGATCAACGACCAGAAGTGGTACGTCATCTCGTCCAGCATCGGCTCCTTCTTCGTGCCCTGCCTCATCATGATCCTGGTCTACGTGCGCATCTACCAGATCGCCAAGCGCCGCACGCGCGTGCCGCCCAGCCGCCGGGGTCCGGACGCCCACGCCGCC